ATACCACAACAAACCTCAAACCCTACAGAATTTTTTTAACTCGTGTGTTTGGAGAAAAGGTACTCCTTCACGCCCCAAACTGTTCATCAACATTTAGTCGTGCCCTTGAAGTGTCTAATGCACTCCTATATCTTACTATATAGTTTTAATTTTTCTGTTGTATTATAGTTTTTCTGATGCATCTTGGATGCATTGAAGAACTAGGATTTGTATGAAAATACATTTCTTGGTACTGTTTTGGTGTCAATAATGAATCGTTATTCTGCTCATTGCAGACTATCCCAACAAAAGATAGAATTGAAGGCCTTCTTGCATTTAAGGAGAAGAGACCTCCTCGCTACAAGGGAGAATAAAAGAATCTGATGCCTTTAAAATACAGGGGGATAAAAGTACTTCTATGAGGACCATTAAGGTGCACTTTGCATCCGCACCTGGGATATCACAATCACCAAAGTAACAGCAAATCATACAGATGTTACAACATTTTGAATGTGTCCATACTTGTACGAAGCCAAGATAGAAATGTGTGTCAGCTCATGCTCATTACAATTTCTGATGGTTGATCTGTGTAATGGCAAAGTCACAGGTTCATGCAGCATTTTTAAAATTTCAAATGTATGAAACATACCATTACACAATTGAAAAAGCTCTGTAATTCTTTACATAGACAAAATGTATCTGTGATGTTAAGCATAAATCTGCTATATCATTTTATCAAAACAAAAGCAACTACTGAACACCAAAAATAAGAAATTGTACCAAATATGCATTTAAATGATTCTGGATATCAGTAAAAATTATATTGAGTATTCTATCAGAATATCTATATTATTAATAAAGCTAGGGGAAATGAAAAGGATTATAATTTAGAAAATGTTCAGCTTTGTTTATCTTACTTATGCTATCCTAAGCAAATGAAATTGACTTTAGCACTTAATGGTGTCCTTTTGATAAAGTTGTTGCCATTATATTAATTTAATTGTATTAAATGAGACATTTTTGAGGCCAGCCTTTAATTATACATTCTTGTATGTTAACCTGTCTTTGTCTTGCATTTTTCCAACATATCTTCTGATCAGCACTGTAATGGAATTTTGTTTCATTTGCCCCAGTTATTTTAAATTTTTGATGATTGTATTAAAGATGGTTGTGTGGGGATATGACCAATGTGCTGTAATAGAACCTAGATTTATCTTAATTTCCAGAATATTTCTTTTGCAAATTTTATAAATGTATATTTATGTACAACAGGGATGATGGTGAAAGGTTGTTTATTTTGTGTTGGCCTCTGAGTTCTTTTCATGCATTGCAAGAGAAATGCAGGAGGTTTCAAGGTAAGAAAACTGATGATTCATACTGTGTATTTGCAGTGGATGCAGCATATACAACAAATGTCTGGAAATAACCTCCTAAAAAGTATTTTTGTTAATTTGACTGGAAAATAAACATGGCTTAGCAGTCCAAGGCTGTCTTTTTATATGAAAAGAAATTTATTCGTGCTGGGTTACCATTGGCTCATGAAACTTGTGCATGTTTTGCTGTTTCTGCAACATTAGCTATGGTCACTGTCCATATCTGTGATGATAAAGCAGCTCATCAACATGAAATGACAAGAACTCATTTAAATTCATATTTAGACATATCATTACATGTAAATTGATTATAACTGGTAGAGCTCACACTTTGTTGACTGGTAAACTTGCTGAGTTGATCATTTCTTGCACAATAATTTGCAAATAAAGTATTGGTACTTGTTTTGATAGTTATATAAAGCCTAGAGGGTCATTTTCTCATGTTTTTGAAATGCTAACATGTCATTTTCATTTTTACTGACTACAAAATAATTATGTTAATAGGAAAAAAAAATATTAAGCATTTGCTGATGGGTTCTGTTGCATAACTTTGATATAAATTCTGCTTATTGAGCTGCCTCTGTTTTTACCAAGCACTGATTAAGTAGCTTCTGTGAAAGTCTATTTAAAAACATCTAATAACTTTAAATACTGTAGCATATGACTGTGTAGATTCATGCCTTTAACTACTAGTTTTGATCTCAGAAAATAATTTTACTGTCAGTGGTCTCTGCATTCCTTTTCTCAGGAGAAGACAGTGTCATGTCATAGCAATTTGAGTTCCTTCTTTGAAGTGATCAGTTTGAATATATTACAAAGTGAGTATAAGTAGGACAGTTTTTAAAGATACTTTGGAATGATGTTGAAGTAGTTCCAGAGGAACAATATTTTAGCAAAAGATGTGTTAGTCACTTACTATCTCATTTATTAAGTGACATGTTATGATGGGTGCAGTGCTCATAATTAATAGTAATATTAGAACTCTGCTTCCATGAGAGGGTTATTTGTAACAAAAATGCTCATATAAAGGCTGACTTTTCCTAATGAAAGGCGTAATCTGGTGAATCCTCCTCTAAGCACTTAGGCTCATGTTTTCCAGTTCCTGGTAAAGCTGTGCTTTTCTCCATAATACCTCATGGATGAGTGAGCCCTGGTCTCCACTGGTTTTCTGGAAGGTTATTTCATGGTCCCTAGACATAAGCAGCTTTTTCTTCTGCTTCTGCTGAGCTCAATTGGAAAGTGAGTTCTTCTGACTTCACTGAGTTGGATATTGAAAAGTTATAACGCTGGTAGGTCCATTACCTATTATTAGTTATCAGCTAATAACTTCTCAATATTTTTAAGTTCAATTTGCTGAATTGCCTAGAAATTCTCAGTTTCATGCAGAAATTAATGTAATGTAATGTAATATAATGACTTTATATAACACATATAATTTTAGCTTTTAACATAGCAAACTGTTTATATTTTCAATATTGCTGAAGTAACTCACATTCTTAGTAGTTTTACTAAATTTCTGGATAAAGTTTTCATGATTGTCTGCATGGCTTTAGTCAGTTCAATGCTTTTGAGTAGATCAACTCTAATGAAAAAAAGGTGTGTTCTATTTATTCTAATATTATGTAATGATACAGTTAAGTACTTTTGGAGATGTTTTCTATGAAACCGTTTTATGACATTTGCAGTCATTGGTACCCACTTATTGTTGAAATTCTGTCAGTCTATATTAAATTAGTCATAATCATACATCGGCATTCATGTCAATGCTTTTCTAGAACTGTTTTTAACCGGCTGCATTTAAAACAGTAAACATCAGGACCATTCTCAACTGCTTCATATTTTACTCAGTCATTGCTCTTTGATGCATTTAATCATAGTCATATTTGTTGAAGAGATCACTACAGGAGACAGCAGAATATCATGCTATTTGGAATCTAGTTTGGGAAAATTAGGGAGTAAAGTAAGGGGTTTTGGCACAGGTGTCACTTCACATACCAAACCCAACTCATAGCAAAGTGAAAAGAGTAGTTGAAATCTTAATTTAGTACTGCATAGTCTTTACTTACACCTTTTTCATGCAAGAAAATCCGTGAAAAGATGTCTGCTGAGATTAGAGAGGGGGTTTATTTACAATTTTTAAAAATGTACTTTAAAAAATCAGTGTTCATTTGAGTGGTGTGCATTGAGCTTTCAATGTGCTTTCATGTCTCATTTGTGGAATTTTAGCCTTGTTCTTGAACCTAATGGCGCTGCTGAAAAGCAATGTCTACTGAGGCTGATACAGTCTGTGTACTCAAGGTGTGATAAAGTTCCTGATGATGTGGTTAAAATGTTATTTTTCTGCACACTTCTAGAAAGAGAATTTCTCCAAAATTGAGAAAAAGAAAAATGGCAAGCAGATAAACCAAAAGAATGTTGTTTTCAGCTAAAGGTAATAAAATCTCTCTTGTCTACTTTGTGGGATTACAGTGACTTTTTTTTTTATTTGTGCCCATTTTTCCTGTTGGCTTTTCTTTCGTCTAAGTCTCGGACATGAATGTGCAGTGAACAGTTTTAAAAATTTGTATGGGTTGTTTTCACTTTAAGAGCATTGGTATTTTATAAACAAAGTTAGTAGAGGTTAAAAAATTTTCCTGAAAGTAGTTTGAGAGATGTAATTAGAAATTACTGTGTTGTCACTAAAGGTTTGGTAATATGCCTTTTTTATTATAGATTTAAATCATGTTCTGTTGCAACCTTGGAACATAGTTGAATAGAAGTTTCTCTGGTTGTGCATAATGTGCTGTGTTTACACAGTGTGTTCATTATGGTTTATAATATATGTGTGTCTATACTGGCATGTCTTATGCATGCATGTGTATGTGTATGTGCGTATATATGCCTGTACATGTAAATAAAATTATCCAGACTGTCAGGCAAGACCAAATCAATGCCTCAGGATGTGATACTACTATTCTGCTCAGGAAGTTTTGAATTTGTTTATGCAAGAGCACAACCAGCAAAACGGTGGATGACTGCTAGAAGTGGGCATGCTTACCATGTGTGCTGTAGTGCAGCAATTCTGCTGCAGAAGCAGCAGGCAAGGAGTGAGGGTATGCACGTATGTTAGTGTGTATCTGGTCGTGTACATATGGTAGTTTAAAGCTAGAATAAATGTAGTAGGAGTCAACGTGAGTTCTTAAGTTTCAGCAAAGGTGTGGCATCCAGATAGCCTATAATATCATTTGCTCCTGCAGTTTGGAGAGGCCTGCAGCAATCATGAGCAGCTCATTAATCAGCCACTGTCACAGATTATAAGATCAGTGTCTACCCCCTTTAAATAAGTCTAGACTTAGATTTCATCTTCAGCTTTTATCTAGTAGATAATTCTTCCAAGTTCACTCATTCACATGGGAAGAAATATGAAGTATGTTAAAACAATTTATTACAGAGGGTGTGAACATTCTGTGTCAAAGCTAACTCCTATTTGCAATACTTGAGTTCAAAATAGTACATTAACCCTCTAAAGCATAGTCTTTACATTTATGTTTATAAACTCTTCAAAGTTCTGGCTAGTGAGTACAATCCTTTGATTATAATTTCTGAAGCGTATGCTAATAAAACTTTTGTAACATTAAAGAGCTGAGAATATGGAGAAGTTTTCTTGTTGCATAATATAACCACTTTCTGAAGAACATGGAAAGTTTGTTATTTTTGTAGAGAACTTATACATCAATTGTTGGTTCTTTATTCTGGCAACTGCTAATTGATTTAACATTTTCCCTTAAGCATAAGGGACTTTGTGATATCATCTTTGGCTCAATTTTTTTTAGTATGTTAAAAATTCTGATGCCAGTTGTACAATTTTTTTTTTAAAATGTGTCTCTTCCATGCAGCTTAGAAAGACAAAGTTTAAAAAATACAATTGTGAGGATAGGGTTATGAAGGTTGTGTTTTCATGACTTATAAACGTTAATAATACATCTGTAGGCTTGTGTGAAAAGTGTCTGGCTGTCCATCTTTTGTGTAATAAGTCTTCACTGCTGGGACTGTTGTCTTCAAAGCCAAAGTATTTTTATAAACATGTGTGAGTGTCCCCAGCTAGTGACCCCTCAAGTTCATTTTGTCCTGTAATTATCATCTTTTGTCCACTCCGTCCAAGTAGAGGTGTAAGGAGAAGAGAGCCAGGGAGCATGCTTCTAAGAAGCAGTGGGTCTTGGAAGAGTATATATCAAAGAGGTTTTGTAGGGTGGGTTGAGGCTGCATTCTTAGGTCTCAGTTAATTTCAACACATAGTTGATTTCAGCATTTCTAGTATCTTCATGAGCAGCACCACAAAGCAGATCTTTCTGTATTGGCTGGTTACAGCTCATGAGTTCTGTACCCAGTGGAGATTGTAACCTCCAAACATGATTCCTAGAATGTCTGTATAACATATGAAAGGAGACAGCACCTACAAAAACAGCATAAGAAGAAGGATTCTGTTTAAGTTACTAGTTCATAAATAACACCTGGACATCGGTTTTTTCCACTTTGGGTGGAATGAAATTCCTGTCTACCATTTTGGATTTACAAATCTTAGCTGATACCAGTCCTTTTTTGAAAAAGTAAAGAGGAGATGCTATCATGCTTTTCCATCTGTATAACTGCTAAGTAGTTAAAGGACTCATGAAACACCAAATGAACTCAGTTTCTGCTGTCTCCTTTCACTTAACTGACCTGAGCCAAAATTTCCTCCAGTAGTGACGTGTTCACTGGATTCTTTACACAGGAGGAATTTCTCTGCTTTAATTATTTATTCTACAAGTTAATTTATTGGGATGTAATGATAATGGCATCCACCTAATAGTTTATGGAGGTAAGGCCTGTCTTGCAGTTCCTTCATGCAGCAAGTACCACACTGGTTTATAACAGCTGCTGTAGCAAGGATGGGAGACCTGCTCACTTTGCTCTTGTCCCCAGCATCTTCTTTGTACAGACTCCTGTCTGCTAAATGTGAAGATCCTTAATGAGTCAGACTCCTTAGATGTGAAGGGTTTAATTAATTAATCGCAAAAGGCCTTGGATACAGCATTTTCTAAGTGCAGTTGCCTAATATCATCACTTCCTGATGCAAAATCTCGGCAGAAATTTTAAGAATCTGAATTTTGGATAGGACACTTATGTCTCTGTAGACACACGTCTTAGTTTTGTGATTTTGCTTTACTCTTTAGAATTCTTAGTTAAGCTTGAAAATACTTCCTCAGTGTAAGCAAGGGATATCAGAAATCACTTTTCAGGCCGTTGGTACCATATCATAGATCATATGGTGGAACTGAGTTGCTTTTTTTTTAACAGGTAATAATACTCAGAGATACTGGTTACCCCTGTCTACCAGGGTTAGGCTCTCCAAAGTAGAAAAGACAGTCATCAGTGGGAGAGAAGGAAACACTGGCGAGTGAAAGGAGAAGTAATGTTGGAGCAAGAGTGGTGTAGCTACAGTTGGCTGTGCTAAAATAGTTGTATGGAGCTGGTTATTCCAGCTCAGTAGCCTGATCCTGCCAACAGGCACAAAGTAGCTGCATACAGGACAGAGCTTTTGATCACATTCTCTGTGTGTGTGTGTGTGCGTGTACGCATAAGATATATATGTCCATGTGTCCACTCTCCTTCCAGCACATAGTTTTAAGGTTATTCATAGAAACTTTTAAAGCATGGATTCAATTTTTAAAATAGTTCACTCAAACCACATCCCCACAGGTATGTGTGCTGAGAGTTACAAAAACATTTTGCCCTATACATGTTTTTATATTTCGTATAATTACAGCATATTTATCTGAACTATTTCGCAAGTATAGTTTTGTGTAATACTGGTAGGAGATTAAGTAATAGCTGCTTACTAGCACTATTGCACAAGAACATCAAATGTAATAATGATGTTCTGAGATTTGAGGTACCAAGCATGCTTTTGGCTGCTTTGCTCCTGTGACCTTTATGCTCTTCTGGTTAGTACAGCAGTCCTGTAACCATGCACATGTTTTCCTTTACACAAATGCCAGTAACCACTTGAGCAGGGCACTTGATTCCAGTTTTGATGGGCGGTGCCTATAATGGACAACGGTAGTGTATCCAAGCCAAGTTGGCTATCTTTGTGCTTTACTGTGCCAAAAACTTCAAAGCTTCTTCCTTTTAGAACTCTAAAGCAATACAACTTTGTGTTTCTTCATATCATCAAACTTAATTATTGGCAATAAGCAAATGCTGGCAGAAGCAGCACATCACATGGTTCCATTTCTACTTTAGAAAAGGTCAGCATATGGCATAAACACTTTGCTGTATTATGCAGCCTTGTACTCTGATCACATAACACATGCTTCAGAAAGCATTATGCAATGTTAGACTCACTGATTAATGACTGCTTGCACAAGAAGTTTTTCATTACCCCGAATGCTAGCATCCTGGGAATGATTAACTTTGTGACATAACTCTCATCACATAAATATGGAAGATTCAAACACAGCCTCAAAATAACATGTTTCAGAAATAACTGAACACTTTGCTGCTTAGTACTGTGTACAGTATTTGATTAACAACTGCTTTAAACCTTCAGAGTTGAATAGAAAAGGCTATTTGTGAGAACTGAAAACAAGATTTATTTCTAGGGTTTAAAGTTTTACCCAAGATGAATTTTTGCACACAGCAGCATCTCATTTGCAATGTTTTTCCTCTGCTGGTGTAAGTTTGAATTTCCTGAGAAAAATCTGTGCCAACTATTTTCAGTTCAGCCAGTGAGTTAAACAGAACAAGTCAAATCTAGCCCTTATTTAGACCAGCAGCTGCATGTATGTAAAATGACTCAGTCCAGTGTGTTCAGTAGTACAGTACATACAGTTGTGTGCTTAAATCAGCATAGTGGTAGCTCATTAAATTTACAATAATTGCTGATGTTCTTGCAGGCAGAATAAGAAAACAAAATGTGGTCCCAAATGAAGTGTCTTGGAAACTTAGAGCCTGAACATTGCTACACATTCATATTTAACATTTTCATATTCTAATGATTAATCATTCCATGTTCAAATTATGCAGATTCCAATGTGAAAAAGCATCATGACACTATATCACTCATATTATCATCTTCAGGATGTACAGAAGAGGAAAAGCCTATAAAAAGAAATGTTCCTTAACATATTCCCTCACATATGAAGATTCATCCCTGGTTTTGAAGTAATTGCTACAAGTTATCTATGTTTCAAGAGCTTTATTAAGGAGAAAGTCAGTTTGCCTGCTTGGAAATTCAAGATCAGTGTTCACAAGGAAATATCTATGTTAAACTCCCACTTACTAATTTGCCTTTAAATGTCAGACTAAAAAAAAAAGAGACATATGCTTTTTTATGATTCTCTCTCCTTTAAGTAATTCTGCTCATGAACTGCCACATTAAATAAAGCTACTTAAAGTCCTTGTAATGGGCGGGATGTCACCACATTAGTGCATATGTGCCATGTCTTCAGAATTAATCTTCATTGAGAAAAAGTGCAGAAGGTAAACACTGACCTTCAGTACGTTCACTTTAGTTTTTGCCTTTTCCTGCATTCCAACTCCTGCAAGCAGTAGCAAAGGCTGAAGGAAATGGCCTCTGACTAAGCATTAGCTACCAGCGTGCCCTCATTATAGCTGAGGGCTCTTATTCTCGCTTAGCCTACGTGCAGAGCCAGCTACTCTTTCAGCTGTGATGACGAAATGCCATGCATTTCTTCCTGGAATAGTACGCAGATAAGAGGCCACTTGCTATGCTGAGGTTTCAGATGAACTCCACTAAGGGTTTCAAAACACTCTGTCACAATTATATCAGGTTTCTTTAGCAACCAATTCATTTCAGACACTTATAAGATAAAAAGGGAAGAGATGTTAGTTTATTTTCCCCTGTGGTTTCACTGTTTAAACTTTTACAGGATATGACTGGATAGTTTATACATGGCCTGAATTTATTAATTTTAAAGAAAAAGAGATCAAAATGGCTCTGTTTCTCTATTGAAATTCACATTATTTGTAGTCCCCTATGTGTACCTATAACTTCAGAGAAGAAACAAAGTCTCACACCTCTGACATGCTGCTGGAACAGTCCTGCTGTACAGACTCAGTTGCTGAGTGCCTTGAACTTATTCTGGATCCAGCAAAAGCTGAGAGTTTTGAGAACCTTGCAGCGCAATAGGTTAATCCTTTATTCTGGAGCTAGGTTTAGATTCTAGGACATGTGTGCAGAGTACCAGCCCAGTTGGCCTAAATGTTACTTAGCAGTGGTGGGAAAACCTGTTTGTGAGATCTTGCAACCTTGGCACTCATTTAGGTGATTCCATGCACTAACAAAAGCAGCTTTCCACTAACAAAAGTGGAATCAAACAAATCACAAAAGTGTCCCAACTGTAAAAGAAGGAGGAATCTATGAAGTGTTTGTTTCAAACTAGGTAATACCATTAGAACCAGCAATAACTGTATGCTATGGAAGAAAGGAATAAATTGTCTGGAATAAGGAATGGGTCCTATGCAGGTTAAATAGCTTTCTTTGCTCACCCATAGACTCTAAGGAAACATTTAGAATCTGTGGTATGCCCCATTTCCACTGTATCTGAATAGCACTTTAGATAGATACAGTCAGCAATAGGAAGTCTTATGATGATAAATCTTGAGTAAATTGCAGCCTAAATAAGTATTTAATATGAAAAAAAAAAACTAACCCAACCAAAAATGGCATCTCTCCTTTATCATTCCCCTGCAATTCTCAACATTTACTAGTATCTCATTAACTGGGAACTAAAGGCTCAATTCAATTTCCTTTTAAGACAACAAAATTTTCTTTTTCCATTTACATAATGGAATTTGGATCAGGTTTTGCTTCTGTAATCTTATGCCTTTAATGCTTTCCAAATAAATGTGTAATTCCCAGTGAGATCACTAGGAATCTTGGCTATTCGTAATCTTTTCTTTCTTTTTTTTTCTGCAACTCTTCTTCAGTAAAGAGGGTCCCCTTTGAAAACTAAAGTTTTCGAACACACTGCTTGCCTTAATTACTTTTTTCTTCCCTTTCTTGGAAAAGTTCCTTTCTTTAGTTAGTGACTACTGACTCAGAAAAAAATAAGAATTAATTTCCCTCACAAATAAAACATTTTTTAATTGTTTACTAGAAATAGATGATTCTTGCACATTACTTTGAAGACTTCCTGTCCTTGCCAAAGCAGGATATACTGACAAAGCATATGTTTCTTCAGGATCTTTCTGCTCTCTTTTTGTCAAAATGTTAGTCTAAATACTGTTGCTACAATGGTCACTAGCAGGCCTTTTAAATATTAGACAACTCATTTCACAAAAATTCTAATCCGCCAAGTATAAATATGAATAATGGACATCTCCTTTTTAGAGCTGTTTCTGTTGTAAACTTTTATTTTAACTAAGTACAATAAGGCAAAACTGTTAAAAATGATGTTAAATACTACTACTTCCAAAATGTCTTCATTTTGTAAACTTGTTTATTACTCATCCTCTGTGTCACTAAAAGTATCTTGCAGTGTCTTATCTCATTTTCTATTTTAGAAGATTTAGTCTTATTCTCTGAAAAAGACATTGTTTTTTAACGGAATATCATGGGGAAAAAAACCAAACCAAATTACATTTCTTGAAAATGATACTAAAAAGATAAATGCTCGTCTGTGGTTCAAAACATGGAAATGTTTTAAACTGAAATTACTGCAATTGAAAATTTGTCATCTTTACTGAAATCACAGAACTAGGGAACACTATCTCACCAACACACATACTAGTGAAACTGGTTTTCTCCTTCTCTTTAGCCTTTGCCACCTTCTGACAATTCTTTCATACAATCCCTGCTTCCACTTCCCCAGTATTCCCTGCTGAGGAGAAGGGATATGTGCCATCTAATTTTGGGTATGTGCTGTTTGTGTCTGGAGCCCTCACAGAAGGTGTGATGACCAAGTTGTGGGAGTTTTAATTCAGAAAGGAAGTGGAACAGGAAATTTAGTGTGAGCCTTTTTTCTTTCATCAAACCACTTTTCATGGAAACCTAATGGATCCTCCTTTTCCACCTTCTTCAAGCTGAGTTTACATAGTGTAATGTTCAAAAGATACGAGGGTCAGGACTGACACATAACAATGGTACCATGTTATGTTTTAAGGCTATTGATGCATGGGTAGAGCATAGGAGATAGGAGCCAGGTTTTCTCTTGTTGAGCAGTAAGTCATCCAGGCTGTCAGAGGCACAAATGCTGAGGGTGGGGAAACTGCTGACAGGCTTCAGCCAGTGAGCAAGTGTCCGGGTCCTGAGCCATCTTGAACTGACTTAGTGATTCATTATTAGCAGGATCTAAACTAGCTGGATGCAAACAAGCTCGGATTTCTTTTCATGCATTTGCAAATAATGCTAACATGCTAATTGCAGAATAGCTTTGTAATGGGCATTACAAAAAAAAAAAACAATGTCCATACAAATTAGAATCTTTCCCACCTTAACTAAATCAAAGTTAAAGAAAGAAATGGGAAGTCTTTATTGTGCTGTAAATATCAGCAACTTTATTCTAAGTCATAAAAGCCATAGCAATAGCACTTGCTAGTAAGTCATTCATGACTAGAATGTAAACAGTTTATGGTGGTGATAACTGATAAATAGGTATATTGAACACTTACAGGGATGTTGTGACCCTGCAGTATTGTTTGATGAAATAAATTATGTTTGCAAGTAACATGTGACTTTCAATCCTGCTGTGAAAGATCTGAGAGTTGGGAGTAGGCTTTTTATGCCTATTATCTATTCTTCAGAGAATTATTTAATTCCTAGAAGCAGATGGTGATTTTTAAGCCCACTGCTATTTTGGTGTACTTTAAAGAAAGAAAAGAAGCCCTAAAAATAGACCTAGGCTACCATATCCAGCAAAAAAAAAAAAAAAAAAAAAAAAACACCAAAGAAAAACGTTGTCAGCTCTTTACTCTGCTGTGCTGAAAACAAATCTGTCAGCAATTTCTTTGGGTTAAAGTATGTGAGCACTGTGGGGGGAGCAATTTTTGTAGTTTCCTGGTAGGTTTTGGTTTGGTTGGTGGTGGTTTTTTAAAAAGATATCATTTAAAGTGGTTTTGTAACAGAATACATTTAATGCTTTACATATCAAAAAATTACCATCTGTTGTTATAAAAGACACTCTACCAAATTGATGAAACCTATACTCCTGTTAATTTTGTGGATCAACTGCATGAATTAGACTTTAAAGTCTGAATCAGTCTGAAATCAACATCTTCAGCTCTGCTGGAACAGACATTAAAAATGAGCCCATTTTCTGTAATTACCAAAATGAAAATGAGAGTGACAGTTATTCATGCACTTAAAAAAAAAAAAAAAAAAACAAACAAAAAAAAACCCAAACAAACAAACAAAAAAAAACCACCAAAACGAACACTGGTAATGCATCTGAGTCAAATAGGGCTCTTATGTTTACCTTATAATTTAATACATTTCTTGTATTAAAAGTGTGGTTTGACAAAGTTACTGAATGGGAAATGAATAAGACTTCTGGATTTCCTGTGCAGGTGATTGACATAATAAGGGACTGACAGTACAGTATGTTCAGAAGTATTTTCAGTATTAGATGATTTTGGCATAAGGATGAAATATAATGGTACAGGTAAAAGAATAAGGTATCTGTTTTCTGTATATCATGTGAATATATTCTGAAGGGATGGATGCAGAAAACCAAAACCAGCTCTCTAAGGTAGGTATTTCATTGTAGTGATCTCAGTGTAAAATATTTTGGCTGGCAGCATTTGTTTCTGAGGTACAGCTCCTTAGAGCCAAATCCTGTGAAGTACTAAGCATTCTTGTTATCTTTTGGAGATTGGCAATATCAATAATTCCCCAGATCAATACTTTATCATACTAATTTAGTGCTGTGAATGCTCACTTCCTATCTGGAGGTGCTCTGACAGATGTAATCGTACATCATCCCTGCTGACAGTATCAACTCCTTTCCACTGACTCCTGAGGAGGCCCCACAGTTTGGTCCTCATTCACACATAAGTTACAGCAAGCAGTGTGGCACTTCTTGTCGGGGTTCGGCATATGCTCCATCGCAGACCTGGCTTCAAGGCTGCTGAACTTCAGTTGCAATGTTTCAATTGGAAAAGCTCACTCTCTATGTATCTTATCAGTGTTGTTGGCAACCGTGGCATTGCAATGCTGAATCCATTGGGCTGGAAACGACATTGTCTGAAGTACTCCTGGAGAGAAGCTCTAGAGCATGCAGGCTGTCATGTATGGGACAGGTGGGAGAAGAGCCTCTGATACACTTGGAGCATTCTGTTGTTGTGCACTGAAGAGTACATTCCTGGGTAGGTGCTGTGCTGAAGACCCTGAACTCTGCCCCGACCTGTGGCTTCAGCTTTCAGATCCATCTCACACTGCCCAGCACTGAGTGTACAGTGCAGTATGAGATCCTACCCAGAGGAGCCTGTTGCTGCTTGCTACAAGGACAGGTAGATTGTCTGTGTGTGACATCAACAAAATGTGCTCAGGTCATGGAAGTGCTGTAGATTACCGACCATTTCAAGGAATGGTCATATCTGGTGAGGTATATATATATATAAATACTCTGGTGTCAGTTGGTTGC